TCTGTTAGTGTCCTTCCAGTATCTAAAGGAGGGCTATAAGAAAGGCAGGCTCTTTAGCAGGGTCTGTTGTGATAGGACAAGGGGAAATGGTTTGGAACTAAAAGGTGGGAGATTTAGCTGGGATATAAGAAAAATGTTATTTACAGTAAGAGTAGTAATGCACTAGAACAGGTTGCCCAAAGATGTGGTGGATGCCCCATTCTTGGAGACGCTCAAGGACAGGCTAGACAAGGCTCTGATTGAGATGTAGATGTCCCTGTTGGACTAACTGACCTTCTAAGGTCCATTCCAACTCAGAATGATTCTGTGATTCTGTGAGTCTGTGATCTCTGGTTGATATGTCAGTACCTTTCTGGTTTTGAGTCTTTTATGTATCAGAGCTCCTATATGAGAAGAGATTGTGATTATTCCTATCCCCCTCCCTTGTGGGCCTACCTCAGCTAGCCTTCTCTAGAATACTCCCTTCCATCCTAGTCATCTAGTAATCTTACAGTACACATGAGTCCAGTGTGATTGTCCAGTGTCTTTGTCTTCCTAAGCTATCAATTTTATTTGGAACAATAAGGTATTGACAAAGTAACTGCAGATGGTGTTCAAGGTTCAAGTATGCTCTGGACTTACACAGCTTTGCTGTGTAACTGGAAGCACAGTTATGCTTCCGAATCATTCTGTACTTGTTACTGAATCACAAAATAGCAGGGACTGGAAGGGACCTCAAAAGATCATTGAGTCCAGCCCCTCTACTAAAGCTGTTTCCCTTTAGCAGTACATAGCAGGTATCCAGATGTGTCATGAATATTTCCAAAGAAGGAAATTCCACAACCTCTCTGAGCAACCTGTTCCAGTGCTTTGTCATCTTCACTTTAAAGAAATTCTTCACATATTTTGTGTGGAACTTCCTATGTTGACTCTGTAGGTCCTGTTTGCTCACTACTGAACAGTGAAGTTACATTAGTACGTAATTGTCTACTGTACAATTGTGTAACATTACAGAGTGCAAACAACTGTCACACCATCTCCCATCATTCAGGTATAATTAGAATTGCTTTCTTCACATGTAGTTTACATTTTTCTGCACATAATTTAATCTGCTGTTTTATTACCTAGCCATTCAGTATCATGACAGCTTTTGAAGGCAGCTTTACATTTATCTAGCTGAATGGTTTTGATTTGAATATTTCCAAGTGTCTGAATTGCCTCCTCCTAAGTAATTTCCTTTTCTAGATCAGTTACGATACCACTGACATGTTTGCACCTTGCATAGATCCATTCTCTGAGAAGAATAGTCATCTTTCCCTTTGCTTCCTAGGATAAAACACCTTCTTCAGAAATTTCAAGAAGTTAAGATCATGTTGAGGTGATTTAATCTAGAACTTAATAATTTGAGATTTAAGAAGACTTTTTCGTTTCCTACAGTATTGAAAACAATTTTCTATGTGGAACTAAGATTTTTAAAAAAAAAAAAAAAAAAAAAACTTAAAGGAGAAAAGCATTTTGATAATTTTCATAGAAATTTCAGATCTGAAATTCTAAGAAGTAAAAAAAAAATGTTATTAAAATTTTTTAATGAAAATGTCATAGTGTTGTATTAAAAATAAAAAAGAGAAATTTGGTTCCACTGGATTAATTGAGATCAGCTATTTCAAGCAAGTTATTGTTACAACTGCCATGGCTGCACTTTGCAAGGGGAAAAAAAGCATCATCTGAAATTTTCAGAAAATTTGTCTTTATAAGTCTTTTATTTGTTCTCTGCGTTAAAGTGGTGTTTGGGAATTATGATTGGCTTTGGGCAAACAGTGCGTAAGAATGCTCAATACCTTTCTTCACAAAGATTTTATACATTCAGTATTATATATGTTCTCAGTTGTTTTCTTGTTATTGAGATAGATTAAAAATATTCAGTAACAACGACGAAAACGGTTTAGTGCAGCTTTATATATGTGCGATAGTACTGTATTACTGAGTTGATAGCAACTTCTTTTCATTGCTGTTGTTAATCTGTTGTTGATTATCAAAATTAAGTCATTAATATAATGGAGTACATCTCACTGTGATTTCAGTGGAGCATATCTAATAAAGCAAGGCATCTGAAATTTGAATGCAATAAAAATGCACTATTTATGTAAATAGAATATCCCTATTGAATGAATGCTGCTAGTGAATCTGCTGTGACGCTGAGCTTTTAATAAGTCAAGGTAGGGTTATGAAATGTTTGCACAAGGGAAGTGTTTAGTTTTACAGTGACTGTCAACTGCTTAAAATATTTGTGGTAAAAAATATTTTAATGTTTTTTAATGTTTAAAGCTCCTTTAAATGAAACTTGCTCTGAAGATTGAGATGCCATAAGATAAATGTGTAACAGTTGTTATGATTGTTTCAATCTTACTCAAATACTCTTTTTGTGGAGAAAGAAGAGAAACTTGTGTGATAATGATCAGAGGATATAAAAAAGAGAGGTACATTGAGGATTGTGAAGAAAGATGCGGACAACCATTCAGCAAACAGCCTTTACTTCTTTCTTTTGTTTTCAAAGTTACACATTTTCTTTCTCTCCTTAAGGGAAATTTGAATATGAAGTTCTGAAAGTGAAAATCACGGATTCAACTTTTCCCATAAATAATATAACCATTGGAATATATTTGTGATTAATAAAATACTGTGTATTCTGGTGTCTTATGAAAGCAGGCATAGCTGTTGGGAATTTGTTTCTGAAAGAAGAGTTGCCTTGCAAACCACACAGTAGACAGTTTTAATTAAAATGGAGAAGGAAGAGAATGGAGCCTGTCACTGGAGAGATGGAAATGTCACCTGATCAGATGATGTTTTTGCGTGATTAAAAACGTGAATCATAGGGGAAGGAGGGAAAATGACTCTTCCAAGATAAAGCGTCCTCACTCAGGCCATTCCCAGGAATTTTTCTCTAGAATTCGGTCCTCCATCATATAACCTTTCTGTTCTGTCATTGTCTATCTCTCATCCACAAGGAATCCATGTTTTGATTTCACCAGTGATGCTGGTAACCCTCTCCCAGAGAGTTTGTGTGCCTACATTCCTGAAGGTCTTCACCTGTTCCAGCTTCCCCTGCTGGATCAGAGATTGAGCCAGATGGACAGAGGTCCCTTCCAGCCTCAACCATTCCTAGATTCTGGGATTCTTTAATTCAGTACTTTTAGTATTGTTGCATATTATCTATGACAGCAAGGAAATCACCACACCATGCCCTTGGTTCAACTCATCAGAAGTAAGAAGAAAAATGCCTTTCTAGACAGGACTAATGCGTTCTGACAGTTTTAGACAGGAATTCTGTGAATGTGAATTGCATGAATTTTTTTTGTAACTAATATTGTCACTCTGAAATAATATCTGCTAAAGGCAAATTTAAGATTGGTGAATGGATTTTTTCATTATTATTTCGTTGGGGTTTTTTGTTGTTGTTTTGTTGTTGTTGTTGTTGTTGTTGTTTTTCCTGTCGTGATTAGGCCTGGTTTGGCCTGGTTAATAAAACCATGACATTTCCAGTGTAGCCTAAACATGCTCACCCGAATAATAGTACACAGGGATTTGTGGCCAAAATGGGATGGGGAGAGAGGTTCTATAAATTTGTCGTAAGCCTCTGCATTTCTGAATATGACATAGTCTATTTTTTGTACATGCCAATTGTTTTTTGAATACTTGTTGTAGATTTTAGTTTGGTAAGAGTTACTGTATGCTTATTGCCTTATGCTTATTATTATTTCCTGTACCAAAGTCTAAGTCCTGTAGCAAAGAAATGCAGTAAAATGGTTTACACGTTTTCAATCTGAGACATTGTGTCATTGGATGCCACCTATCTTGATTTCCTCAGTATATTAAAGACGAACTTCAATACTAATCTTAAAATCTGATTATACCTAAACTTACAACACATAATGAAACAAGATTTTCTGTCTCATTAGCACATCTTCCATTTATATTCATTACTGACCAATCTGGTTTTAGATGAAAAAGATCGGATTCTTTATCTACCATTCAGTGGCAATTTCTATTTTCCTGTGGAATTAATAGGTTCTTACATTTATTCATGGACTGAATGCTTTACTTCTCCATAATGCTTTTAAAGAATGAATATTCATAACATTAAATATATAGTGAGCCAAGCTTGCTTTTATGCTGAGTCAGAAGAAGTTTTATGATTTCTTTGTAGTTCAGCTGTTTGGACAGAAGCTTACAAAGACTAGATATTTTAAAATCCTAGACTATATATCTCTTCACAATTTAGTAGACATTACAATCAGTAATTTGTCAGAAGTAAACTTTTCTTGCCACAGAAGTATGTTGGAAATCAGTTAGGATGAGTTACGCTAGCAGAATCAGTAGTTTATTTGATGTACTATTGTATGTATCTCTCCTGGCACACAAATTCTAATTATTATGTATCTGTCCCTTAATTCTTTGCCCCTTGTTGGTCCCCAACAGAAAAAAAAAAAAAAAAAAAAAAAAAAAAAAAAAAAAAAAAAAAAAAAGTTGTGTTGAAGTGAAATCCATTTGCTTAATGAATGCGGAGTAGCACTATCCATCTGAGTGTGGGTGTAGGAGGTACAAGCACCTATGAGCTCTGCAGATAGAAATCCAGGGTCATGTTAAAAAATGCATCTTCATTGGTGCTAATCTTTTAGTAAGGATCTGTGCTAATTAGGTTTTAGATGTATCTGAAGACTTGATGTTCAGCCATTCAGCCATTCCCTGTTGTCCTATCACTGTCACAATGTAAATGAAGTAAAGATGGTCCCCAAATATCTGCCCTTCTGTTTATTTAGGTTTAGTTACTTACTGTGGCTTGTACTGTAACTAAGACCAAAATCAGTCAAAACCAGTAGCCACTTGAATACTTCAAAATTCTGTGCTTAAAGACAGCTGTGATCTGTCAGAATTGCTAATGACCAACAGTACCAATGTAGATCATTCTGTAGGAAGAAGCAGTGTCTGTTAGTTAATGTCTTTCTTTTTCCTCTGTTTTCTAGATGCAGCAATTGTTCCACGAGAACTATGAACACAACCGCATGGGTTATATTCAAGACCTTCACAACAGCAAAATTCACACAGCTATAACACTTCATCCAAACAAAAGGCCAGCCTACCAATATAGGCTGCACAATTACATACTGAGTCGCAAAATTTCCGAACTGCGCTATCGAACCATTCTTCTCCATAGGGAACGTGCCCTCATGAGCAAACTTAGTAACAGCAAAGTAACGAAGGAAGATCAGCAACTGGGAGTGGTACCATCTTTCAATAATTTCCAGCCACATGAAAGATCTGAAGTCATCGAATGGGAATTTCTGACAGGAAAATTTCTTTACTCGATGGTAGAGGGCCAACCACCCCGGCAGAGTGTGAGCAGTGTTCTGCGGGCTGCACTAGATGACACTGTGATGCAAGTCATGGAAATGATAAATGAGAACTCTAGGTCTAGAGGAAGACTGATTGATTTCAAGGAAATACAATATGGATACCGCAGGGTGGATCCTATGCATGGGGTGGAGTACATCCTGGATTTACTGCTCTTGTACAAAAGGCACAAAGGAAGGAAAGTTACAGTTCCAGTGAGACGTCATGCTTTCCTTCAGCAACTGTTCAGCAAACCTTTCTTCAGAGAAGCAGAAGAACTAGATGTAAGAAGCCTGCTGGAGGACACCAATGCTGACACACAATCTTTCTCTTTTCTTTCAAATTCTTTAAAGATTTTTTCTTCATCATTCCAAGGCACCAAAGACATTGTGGGACACAGTGACAAGAAAATACATATTCTTGTCCCTCTTATAGGAAGATTTGACATTTTCTCAAGATTTATGGAAAACTTTGAGAAGACTTGTCTGATTCCCAGACAGAATGTAAAGTTGGCAATAATTCTCTTCAGTTCTGAGTTAGGACAGGATTCCAGTAAACACATAGAGCTGTTTAAAGAATATAGCATGAAGTATCCTAAAGCAGATATGACCCTGGTTCCTATGGCAGGAAAGTTTTCCAGAGGTTTAGGTCTTGAAATGGCTTCATCCCAGTTTGACAATGGCACTTTGCTGTTGTTCTGTGACGTTGATCTGATATTCACACCAGACTTCCTACAGAGATGCAGAGAAAACACTATTCAGGGAGAACAGGTTTACTACCCTATCATCTTCAGCCAGTATGATCCAAAAGTAATATATGGAGGCAACCCTCCAGCTGACAGTAGTTTTATTTTCACAAAAAGAACTGGATTTTGGAGGGAGTATGGATTTGGAATTACATGTATTTACAAAAGTGACCTACTTACTGCTGGTGGATTTGATACCTCAATTCAAGGCTGGGGTCTTGAGGATGTAGACCTCTATACTAAAGTGATAACATCAGGCTTGAAGGCTTTTAGAAGTCAAGAAGTAGGAGTTGTTCATATTTTTCACCCAGTTCATTGTGACCCCAGTTTAGATCCAAAACAATACAAAATGTGCTTAGGATCCAAAGCAAGTACATTTGCTTCAACCATGCAGCTCGCTGAACTCTGGCTAGAGAAATATTTGGGTGTCAGATACAATCGAACTGTCTCCTGACATCCCAACCCATTTGGCCTTTTAAGGGGAGTTTACCTCATTATTTTTTTATTTTGATGTTGTGTTTTTAAACTCCCTTCTCTTTGTCTTCCAAAGACTGCTGACCTCAAACCAGATGAGTCTGCTGTTCACTGATGTTTCTTACACCTACTGAACTGATTAGGTGAACTCTTTCAGATTTCTTTTGTTTGAAAATCAATCAAACCATGGCAATCACACGATCCCATGGAGCACATCCATCACAAGAGACTACATCAGAAGAATATTCTTTTTGGCTTTAGGATGCAGTATCATCTTTGTTGCATTTTTCAGACTTGATGTGATACAAATATTTAAAGTGAAGGTACCACAAAAGTGCTTTATGCTTCTTCTGGGGATGGAACTTTGTTAGATAAACTTGAGTTTTATAATTTATATGAGGACTTATATGTATAAACACTACTTTTCTTCATCTTTAGAATTTTTAAAGTAAGCGAATAACTATGATTGTACCTTTATTTTTAAAAAGGAAGAAAAACCGAGGAGTTGCTTGCAAATGCAACTGGTACTGGCTACCAAGTTACCTTAAACTTCTTATTAGAGTAACAAACTCCTCGATGTTCTTCACTCTAAGTGTAAATGAACTTTATTTTCACAAGGAAAGGAATTTAATCTAATCCTCATATACATTTTAGGAGATTTCTGAACCAATGTCCTTCATTTGCAGACAAGAAGCTATGACATAACATGGTCATTTATGGTAAAGTGCAGGCAAACAACATTCTTTTTTTGAAACATATAAGTTGGTGTTTCTTTTTAGAATGGATCTCTAATATGTAATTTTCTTTTACATTCCTCTCATAAACTGCACTAGATAGAGAGCGTTAGAAGTTAAAGCTGTATCTTTTTTTTATGTTTTCTGTGAATATTGGTACTCAGAAACAATTTGTTGTTAAAATTAAAGTAATTGTAGGATAATTATTTAAGTTTCAAAATTTATAATTGCTGGTCAAAATTCCTTGCCAATATATTTATATTAGTGGAGGTTATAAGACTGTGTTAAAATCTATCTCTCTGGACAGCCTGATGTTGTCGTATTACTGATTTATGGAGTAAAGTATTTAAAATGATATCAACTTAAGAAATAATGGAACCAACTTTTTGTATTTTGAAGAAATGTTTATATGGGGATCTACAAATGTGCATGTGTGTGTGCGGTGTGTGTGTATATGTCCCTCTATATACATACATATATATATATATATTTATATATGTATATAGAGAGAGAGAGAATCATAGAGAATCATTTTAAAAGATGTTCCTTTTTTTTTCATTTCAGGCAGTGAATTTGTTATAATTATTTTTACCACATACTTGCAACATTTCATATTATACTGTGGTAAGAGTTCAAAGACATCCAAGAAACCATCAACCTTCAGTCAAACTTAAATACATCAGGTACTTCTGATCTCAGTACTCTAGATTTCAATCTGCATTTCAAATTGAATTGGTGTCAAAGGTTTACGGGCTGGTTTGGCATGGTCTTGTGACTAGTGGGGTGCGGGACCTGCATCCCGCAAAAGGTATAAGGGAAAAGGGGAAAAGGAGAGAGAAATGGGCCTAAAAACAAAAGAGCAGCAACAATCTGAGGAGAAACAAACTATTTTACTAAATAAGATATCAGAATGCAAGATAACACACCATAATACAATATAATAAAATGCAGTTGAAACTAGTAAATCAAATTAAATGAGAGAGTGTGTCTGAAAGCCAAAGCTCTTACTCTAATGCTGTGGTGAGACAGCACCCGCAACAGAGACAAGCCAGACAATTGAAAGGGCTGTCAGGTAACCTAAGAAGGCCTTTTATCTTTTCCCGCTGAGTGGAAATGATAACAGAACAGCAAGTAGTTCTCTGGGGGACGTAGCAGTTCTCCTCTTCCAGGACAGGTACCCAGGCGTGGAGCATTAGCATTTTAACTCCCAGTGCTCTACATGATGTTATGATGTGGAATACGAATAACCAAACATCATAAAACCATGACAACTGGAAAAAACAACAACAACAACAACAACAACAACAAAACATAAGCAATTGTTGAAGTTTTCTTATGCTTAAATACATTTTTCATAGTGAGTGGCTTGTTCTGGAGGAAAAAGGCAGCCCTAAAGGGGAATCGGTGTACTGGATAATAAAGGGCTGGCTATAGCCTTTTTATATGCTTTTAAGAAGGTCAGGTGCATTGCCTCAGAAAAGCTAGTAATTGTAGTAGATGACAGCAGATAACTCATGCATGTCTGCCCTCCCAGAGCAGAGCTTCTTGCTTATCATTCTTCTGGAAATTCCAACCCCATTATCAGTGGCTCAAATGTCTGGAGAAAATAAAATTATTAGAAAATAAAAATATTTGTTTTAAAGGAATTCTTGCAGACTTCTCTTCGAATCTGCATGAGTGCAAAGCTCTTGCTTAGTTTGATTAGAAAGCCAAGAGCAAGGAATGGGAAAGTGAATTCCTGCTGATAAATGTTTGTGATGATTTCATAGAATCATAGAATCATAGAATGGGTGGAAGAGACCTTAAAAGATCACCTACTTCCAAACCCTCTGCCATGAGCAGTATTACTAGCCACCAGATCAAGCTGCACAGTGCCTCATCTAGCCTGGCCTTGAGCACCTCCATGGAGGGGGCATTCACAGCTTCTCTGGGCAGCCTGTGCCAGAGACTCACTGCCCTCCAAGTAAAAAAATTCTTCCTAAAATCTGATCTGAATCTCCCCTCTTTTAGTTTAAAGCCATTCCCCCTTGTTCTATCACTACTGGACTGTGTAAAAAGTCGGTCCCACTCCTGCTTGTAAACTCCCTTCAAGCATTGGAAGGCTGCAATTAGGTGTCCCTGGAGCCTTCTTTTCTTCAGGCTGGACAAGCCCGGCCTTCTCACACCTTCTTCTTAAAAGAGATGCTCCATCTGTGCATCTTTGTGGCCTCCTCTGGACTCGCTCCAACAGCTCTTCTTCCCTTGTGTGCTGGGGGTCCCAGGCCTGGATGTAGTGCTCCAGATGGAGCCTGACAAGGGCAGTGCAGAGGGGGACAGTCACCTCTCTCTCTCTGCTGTCACCCCTCTGTTGATGCACTCCAGGATACAGTTGGCCTTCAAGGCCGGAGGGGCACACTGCTGGCTCATGTCCAGCTTCCCATCTACTAGTACCTGTAAGGCCTTCTCCACAGGGTTGCTCTTAGGGAGTCTGTATCTGGGATTGCCCTGACTAAAGTGCAACACCCTGCACTTGGCATTGTTGAATCTCATCAGGTTCTCATGTGCCCACTTTTTAAGCCTTGGACTTTTTGAGTCCAGGTCCCTCTGGGTGGTGTCCATCCCTTCCATTGTGTCAGCTGCGCTACTCAGCTTTATATCATCACCAAGGATACATTTGCTGAGGGTACATTTGATCCCCCTACATACTTTCCTATTCAAAGGAAGATTCTTCTCTGAGGCCCTCTGCATGCTTTTGTGTGTTTTGCTCCAAGTTTCCTTACACATTTCATGCACATGAATGAAAACATGAGTGAAAATAATATAAATAATGATTACGAACGTGTAAGGAAATCATCTGCTGAGGTATAATCCGGTGCTTATTTCAATTTTTTAACTTAGAGGCCAGAAATTATTTGTTCAGTTCAAAGTAAAATAGTAGAATAGAACAAGAAATTAAAGCAATCATTCTCTGGGGATTGATGTATACAGAGGGCTTGCAGGATCAGGTCCAAAGCAAAGAGTTAGTATCCACCAGTATGAATATTTATTTACTGTCTGACTGGTTCATTTGTTTATATGATGAATGACTTTGTTTAAAAAACAAAAAACATACAAACAAAAAAACCCCATTATGTTTATTATGAATTATTGCATTGACTTTTAAAATAACTATCCTGAGATAACTTGAGTACTTGTATTAGTTTGCTTAAGGAATAAATGCTTTATAAAGAGATCATATTAAAAAGAAAAAAAAAACACTAAAGTGTTAGAATAATATTGTGGATGTATAGATTAAAATTGGAATGTCTCTGCTAACCATTTGCTTTTGTCTAGTCTCAATCACAGTCTCTGTTGTAAAATGAAGTTTCTAACTGTACACTGTCCCTTTGTAAATATGTAATTAATGGATTCACAATCGAGCAAAATGACAAGTCTTTCCAAAACCTCCTTACCCTGAAAATATGTTCCCTGAATCTTAGCAATGCATGGCTTAGACCAATCCTGACATGATTACCTGTTCACAGTACTTAATTTGAGAGTGTTTGCATCAGAGTATACTTTTTCTCAGCCTGGAGAAAGGCAGAGATGTTGGGGAGTCGCTTTGGAATCTCCGTCTTCTATCCGAGGCACTTCCTGACTGCTACCAGCACTGCTTGAAATGTCTCCTTGGGGCTGCAGGTAGGCAACCCAAATCAGCATAGAAGAGCTGGTTCTGCTGCTGAATTATTTTGGGAAGCAGAAGGACAATTTTTATCAGGGTTTGGGATGAGTGAATGGAGGAAGTTAAACTGAAGTTTTACTGGGATAGGGTGGCATGGTGTCATGCACATAACCTCCATTTTCCTATGGAAAGAGAGATGTGATCCGTTTGAAGTTTCTTACCTCCTTAAGGAGAAGGAAAGGAAGGGCAAAAACAGTAGTCCATCCACTCAGTGGGGCTAAACCTTGCACTTGAATACCTACTACCTATACCTATTGTGTGAGACCTGGGGAAAAAATGCCAAAGACTCTGTGCCAGAATTACAGAGAGAAATGCCTTGTGCACTCACCAAAGACTAGAAGTATGCACAGAAGTGCCTTTTGGAGCCTTAAACCACTGTGCAGTTTTTCAAGAGCCACACTGCTCTTGAAAAAAGTTGCAACAATGGTAAAATGGCTTAGGAGCGCATTGTAGACCTTAAGGAAATGTGGAGATTTCCAGGAAAAATAACAGATGATTATAAATAGAGCAAATATTTGATTTAAATATATTTTGGTGTAGTAATTAGTTAACACGTACTTTTCCACACGGGGTATTTTGCACCAAAGAACAAAGCCAACTTCAAGAAACAAACAAAACATATTTATTGCCTACATCCTTTATTTTCCGTATTTCCACCTTGAAGACAGTAAAAATTATTGGACAAAGCTAAGAATTTCTAAGTTAGTGATTAGAGGACTGTTTGTTTTTCTACTCCACTTTTTAAAAAGAGAAGCAGGTGAGGTTAAAAAAGAGGTCTGTAAGGTAAGCCACAATGTGAGGGTAGCAGTGATGATTATTGTCCTGAATTGCAGCCCAGAATATTAGATAAAGGTCTAACTATTTAGAATAACTACTTAAAGTAACTATTTAAAATACCAGTGAAAGTCTTCCTCTGTTAAAAGTCTGCATATAACACATGAAGTTAAATCAATACTTTCTTAATTCATTTCTTTTTTAGAATAATATTCTGTAGTCTTCTTCTGTTGGCATTTATTCAATTGTTTAATGAGTTGGTTTAATATAACTCATCTTCTCCTTTCCATTTTTTCCTTTTCTTAGGTCTTCCCCTTTGCAATATATACTGCTACAGTAGTTGCATGTTTTTGTTCAGAGCCTCCATTTTCCTGTGGAAGGAGGAATACAGTCCCTGTCAAGTACCCCATTTCTTGTCAGGAATCTTAGAATCATAGAATCATAGAATTGCTCAGGTGGGAAAAGACCTTCAAGATCATCAAGTTCAACCAGAACCTTACCATACTACTAACTCTGAGAATCCTCCGCTAAATTATGTCCCTGAGCACCACATCCAAACGGATTTTAAACACATCCAGGGATAGTGATTCAAGCACCTCCCTGGGGAGCCTATTCCAGTTTATTCCAGCTTAACAACCCTTTCTGTAAAGAAGGTTTTCCTGATATCCAACCTGAACCTCTCATGGTGCAACTTGAGTCCATTTCACCTTGTCCTGTCACCTGTCACCAGTGAGAAGAGACCAACCCCGCTCTTGCTGTAAGCACCTTTCTGGTATTGGAAGAGAGCAATAAGGTCCCTCCTCAGCCTCCTCTTCCCCAAATTAAACACCCCCAGTTCCTTCAGTCATTCTTCATGGGGCATATTCTTCAAGTCCTTCACCAACCTTGTTGCCCTTCTCTGGACTTGCTCCAGCACCTCACTGTCCCTTCTGTATTGAGGTGCCCAAAACTGAACACCGTACTC